TTTTTTTTTTGCCAAGGGACATGATATTCAACTTTGTGAGTACAAAGCATTGGAGAGACATTGCAAGAAGGTATTTTCCTTCCTGGTTCCCATGTGCTCATCGGCAGGCTCCTGCCTGCAAATGACTTCTCCAGCATCTGGCTCCTGCAGTTTACCAGGCTTCACCAGTGCCCCCACCCTGTAGTGCGGGCTGCTGCTATAGCACTGCATTCTTGCAGGTCATGGTGGTCAATCGAACCCAGCAGCCAGAAGCTTCTTCCAAAACTGCCCTTGGATGGTTTTGTAGTGGAGTGCCTCTGTCAAGACACTTCCCAATACACAGCTTCCACAGTGGCCTAGAGCGCAACTTTCTGGAGCTGAGATTTGCAGCAAGTTCTGCTAATACAGCACTACAGTGACTTGTCATTCAGTGAGGCCCATGGAGGGGCAGGGGGACGACATGGACTTCACTGGCTGTTCCATCTCAGCCCTAGGGACAGTGACTGCTCCTTATATGTGCTATTCTTTTACAGTTCCCTTTACCTTCACTAGACAATACCTCATTGCTCCAAAGCTATTATAATTAATCATTCTTTATATTAACTTTTCTTGTTTATGTTTCTGTGTGGTTTCTCTGTCTCACCTGGATGCTGACTAATGTTATATTCACACAAGTGAATGCTCTGTGTCAGTGAAATCCAGTGAACTACAGCCACAATGACACAAAGACGAACACCTTCAAAGGTAAGTGAAAGAATCAAGTCCTAGAAAAATACACATAGTATAATTTTATTTATAAAAAGTTCAAAAAACACACAAAGCCAAAAACATGTAAGGGATAAGCCATATGTGGTAAAATTATAAATAACAGGACACAATATCATAAAATTCAAGAAAGCGAGTATCTCTGGAAGAAGAGGAAGAAGGCACAAGGTCAGCAGTACATGGGGGATCCAAAGATACAGGTAAAGTCCTTTATTAATCTGGTTATGGGGGAGGTTTACAAATGTTCATTTCTTTATTGCAGACGGTCCCTGACTTACAATAGTTCAACTTACAATTTTTCATCTTTATGATGGTGTGAAAGGGATACGTATTCTGTAGAAACCATACTTCAAATTTTGAATTTTGATCTTTTCCCAGACTAGGGGTCTGTAGTACGAGGCTCTCTCATGATGCTGGACAGGGGCAGAGACCCGCAGCTCCCAGTCAGCCATGCGACCATGAGGGTAAACAACGGATAGACTTACACCATTCTGTACCCACACAACCATTCTGTTTGTCACTTTGAGTACAGTATTCAATAGATTACAGGAGATATTCAACACTTTATTACAAAATAGGCTTTATGTTAGATGATTTTGCCCAACTATAGGCTGATGTAAGTGTTCTGAGTGCGCCTAAGGTAGGTTAGATGATTTTGCCCAACTGTAGGCTAATGTAAGTATTCTGAGCACATAGGTAAGATAGGCTAAGCTATGACGTTCGGTAGGTTAAGTGTATTAAATGCCTTTTCAACTTACCATATTTTCAGTTTACGATGGGCTTATTAGGACGTGATCCCAATGTAAGTCTAGGAAGAACTGTATTTTTCACTGTACATATATGTTATATATATGTATATAACATATACATATGTTATATGTGGTATAAATGAAATAGTTGCTAATTTAAAGAAAAGCAATTATCCCTTATGGTATAGAGTGATTATATTTACTTTGCTGTGTGATTAAACTAGAGTTGACCAACTAGTGTGCTAAGATAGCGATCCCCTCAGCCTTGGATGGCTAGGCAGGGCCTAAGGCCTCTGGCTTGGAGCAGCCCTGTCCATTTTCCATGTGTTCTATAACAAACTGATGTTTTCTATGTGTGCAATAACAGGCGTAGGTTCGGAAGTGCTCAATTAGACTTGATTCCCTGATAATCCCACATAAGAGTTTTAAAATATTAGGCTGGTCTCCTTAATTTTAACACTTAGTTCAACTTCAGAATAACCTCCTATAATTATAGAATAAAACTCATCCATTTTCATTTTTTAATCCACAGGGAAGAAAAAAAAGGACACTAAGATATACATATATACGCACAACTTTATTTTTTACTTTATCAGTGCACCCATCATGATTCTTTCTGAGTGATATACCATACCAAATCAATATGGGTTCTCTGAAGAACCCTCTTAGGCTACTTCTTTCAGAGTCCCTGCTGCAGCCTGCACTGTGAAGGCTGCAATAGAAATCTGTCTCTTCACTTCTCCCCACGCCTTAGAAGGATCCACTTTGCTTTCAATATCAAGCAGAGCATCATAGATCCCTGGGAACGACTCCCCTGCATACTTGTTGTGGCTGCTTGGAGCATAGATGACATGCCTGTTGATAAAAATAGTTTGCTATCTATTAGTTGCCCAAATGATGTATACAAGAGAAAAATAGGAGCACTCTACAATCCCTGGATCACATAATTCTGATTTTATGATTTGAATAAGCCACTTGTCAACTAAACTTCCAAGTTCCATCATCTCCAAAAACTACTCTATGAAATATGTGTTAATTAATTATATTTTGACTTTAAACAGATGACTCAAAGTGGTTCAGAGCAACAAAAATAACAATAGCCAGAACAGCTTGTCACCTACTATGGATCATGTTTGATATTAAAGAATTTGAGTATAAGTTTTCTAATCCTTAAAAGCAAGCTTTACGAAGTTGACATCAGCATTTCAAAGAGGAGGAAATTGAAGTCTGAGGGATTCAGTGATCAGTCTCAGGCACATAGCAAATAGGTGCTGACTTCACTATACCACTCTACTCCCAGAAATGTAGCACAATTGTGACTATAAAGTCCTCCTGTGACCAGCCAACCTACTATTGTGTTTTTCTCCTCTTTAAAAAAGAAATCGTTAGAATGGCTAGCTTAAAGCATGAAGAATCATTAAAACCAGTTTTGTAATGTTTAGCATGACCTAGGCAGAAGGTGGTGTTTCATTGAGGGAGCTAAGCCAGTTCATGTAATGCCCTGGGAGGAAAGGACAGGTGCAAAGCAAAGAGATAAAGAAGGACAGAGGACTGTCATGCTGCTGTTGGCAAACCAATCACCTTGTTTGGATGACGCCCTTACA